GCGTCCTGCATGCCAGGCGACCTACCTGCCCGATCATCCCGCGCGACCGTGTGCTCGTGCGTGTGCAGTCGCGCCCCAGCACGGACAGACCGGCCCAGCGAGCCAACCCTCGGCCCCAGTAACCAGATCCGGCCCGACCAAGCCCAGTCCGGCCCAGACCCAACCCAACCCGGTCCAGACCGATCTGACCCGGTTCAACTTGACCCAGTTAGCCCAGTTCGTGCCCAAGATGGTTTTCGAGTAGTCCGAGGAGTCCGGTTCACATTTCGAAGGTCCGAGACGATCCGACGAGCCCGACGAGAAACCGGAGCACCTGCAACTCGATTAGAATCGAGAGAGGCCAAGTCCGGCAGCCCATCGGACTCTGGTGTTCAGACGATCTCCATCAACGGAAATCAGAAACGTCTCAGAGTCGGCAAAAATTTTAAACCGTAAGTCCTGATCCTAACTATAGATTCCGCTGCGTTAGGATTTATTATTCAATAGATTTGAATGTGCACATTGCCGACGTTCCTAATAGAACTCAACATCAAGGATCTGCCTACCAGGCACAAAACCAGAACGAGAAAGAGAAATGCAAAAAGACAAAACCACCTTTAATCTATTGGCATGGATTTTTGCGATCAACCTATAGGTAACTGTACAAAGACTGATAGCTCTGAAGCCAACAATTTTTTTAAAAAATAATTGTTTTAGGAATGAGGGTAATAACTGTATGATTTGTGGCTCCAGAGATTTTTCCATTTTTAAAGAAATCAAGAACAACCAAGCAAAGATCATTTTTAATTAGACTTCAAGAAGCTTGAAAAAATTTAGCAGAGAAGCTATCTATACATGGAGCTTTTTTTGGGTCCATGTCCCACAGTGCTACTCTAATTTCCTCTTCATCCACATAGTGAGTTCATGATTCATTTCAGGATTGATAGATATTGGAATTCCTTGCAGACAATTTTCATCAGAAGCTGGATTTTCATACTTAAAGATCTTACCAAAATGCTCTAAGATCTCCTCAAGGGGTTCCTTACCATCAGTACACCTTGTTCCATTAGCTTTTACTAAATTATCCGACAAATGACATGTCTTCTCTGCTTATCACATGCCTGAAAGAATTTGATGCGGCATAAATTACAATTTTGCCCTCATTTGTTTCATGAGTTGGTATTTATGTTATAAATTGTATTTACCATGAAAGCTTGTACACTCAAGTGCTATATAAGACTAGAGGTAAGAGTAGAGATGTTAAACGGACTAGTCTTAGAGGTTTCGGACTAGCCCTAGCGGGTTTCGGGCTAAACGGTCTGGGTCTAAAAAGCTCGGATTTAAACGGGCTACCAATAAAGGGACCTAACCCTAACTCTAGCGGGCTTCGGGCTAAACGGGCTACAATAGCTAAAAATAATATTAGGAAAAAAAATCACACATAATATTTAAAATAAAACCAAAGGCAAATTAAAGTCACATACTAGTAATCCCAACTCTCAATATTCCAACTATTACTTACAATTACTATTTTACTACTTATTTTGTACTCTTTTGGAATTTTCACTATAAATTCTATCACTATGTTTCATGTGTTTCATATTAGTCGTTCTGATTTGTTTAAATATTTTGGTGTGAAATACAATAACAATATTGTTAATAATTATATTTCAAAATCGTAATAATTCATTACAACTCATACTTATTTGTGAAGTGAAATAACAAAATTGTAATATATACAAAAAATCTAAGATCATATTACTTACTTGATGCAAATATTTATACCGCTCAACCCTAGTCAAACGGGCCAGCCCTAGCGGTTTTGGACTAGCCCCTAGCGGACTTCTGGCTAAGTACTCTGTGCCTAAAAATCCTTGATTTAAACGGGCTACTAATAAAAGGCTATAACCCTATTTTTTTTCCGGACTAAACGGACCGGCCCGTCGGGTCAAGAACCATTTAACATCTCTAGGTAAGAGTTAGAATATTGGTGCCTGAGTTGTAAATCAGTTTAGGTAGTGGAGAAAATAATTTTACGATTAATTGACAATATTTGTGGAAACAATGAAATATTAATAGGATAATCCATTTAGGGTTATAATTTTAAAATGTATATGATCCAAAGTTGTTGAAACCTTATATTATGGAGTGATTTATAACACTTTTTACAGCCACAAACCCCTCCACAAAATTCTCCTCAATAAAAAAAATATTCTCATGGAAAAATATTATAATCTATGTGGATTAGATATAACACCATGGACCACTTAAAACTCCTCCACGACAACGTTAATAAATCCAACACATGCCGAATCCCCATCACTCATTACCAACAATTGCTATAATTGGTCAGCCAACCCCATCTAAATGCCCTCTTAAAACGCTGCACTCAAAAACCAAAAAACCCGGGGGATCTTTTTATTCTCATTTTTTTCTTTCTCTCCCCACAAAAGAGACTCTCTAACCTTGCCTTCTGGGCAAGGCTCTCTCTCAACCCCCTCAACAATCAGGANAAAAAAAAAAAAAAAAAAAAAAATATTCTTCTTTCTGTCTCCATGCGCGTCGAAAGTACATCATCAATGGCTCGATCTCGTTCCTTTTCCATCCAATAATTCCTCAAAAGTAGGCAGCACACGAAAACCTCATTTTTCTGAGGCGGAGGACATGGAGAGGAAAGGTAACATCCTGATGAAAAAGTACGAGATCGGGAGGCTCCTTGGGCAGGGCACGTTCGCCAAGGTCCACCACGCGCGCGACCTCAACACGGGCCACAGCGTGGCCATCAAGATCATCGACAAGGAAAAAATCTCCCGTGTCGGCCTCATGGAGCAGATCAAGCGCGAGATATCCGTCATGCGTCTCGTGCGCCACCCGAACGTCGTCCAGCTGTACGAAGTCATGGCCAGTCGGTCAAAAATCTACTTCGCCATGGAATACGTCCGCGGAGGAGAACTCTTCAACAAGGTGGCCAAGGGCCGTCTAAAAGAAGACGCCGCCCGCCGCTACTTCCAGCAGCTCGTGGCCGCCGTTGATTACTGCCACAGCCGCGGCGCGTACCACCGCGACCTCAAGCCCGAGAATCTCCTCCTCGACGAGTCGGGGAATCTCAAGGTTTCCGACTTCGGGCTCTCGGCCCTCCACGACTCCAAGCGCCAAGACGGGCTCCTCCACACCACGTGCGGGACCCCCGCCTACGTGGCGCCCGAGGTTATTATAAAGCGAGGCTACGACGGGGAGAAGGCCGATATATGGTCGTGTGGGGTTATTTTATTCGTTCTCGTCGCGGGATATCTCCCGTTCCAGGCATGGACGAATTTAGATGTATTAGTAGGGGGCAATTCCCCCCTTCAATTTTTTTTTTTTTTTTTGTTATTGTTATTAATATTAAAATTTTTCATTTGTCCCCCCTTTAAGTTTATTTTTGCACCCCCAGATTTTTTGTTTTTAAACGTCACTCACAAGGACAACTTGTCCACAATTGTCAAGTAACAATTCAACACTTCTTTTATTTTACTACTAATTTTGTATATTAATTATTATCATTCTACAACTAATTTTCTAGTTTTCGCCCCTGGTTCCAGGACGCGAATTTAATGGAGATGTACCGGAAGATTTGCCGGGGAGAGTTCCGGTGTCCGCAGTGGATCCCGCCAGAGGTCCGGAAGCTTCTGTCGAGGATTCTTGATCCGAATCCCGCCACGCGGGCGACGCTACCAAGGATCATGGCGAATTCGTGGTTTCGGAAGGGTTTCAGGAGGATCGAGTACGACTCTGAGGATGAGGAGGAGATTTCGCCGAGGAGTGTGCTCGAGATAGACGAGTCGGATGGGGAAGAGCATTCGCGGAGGATGAATGCGTTTGATATAATATCGCTTTCGGAAGGGTTCGATTTGTCGGGGATTTTGGGGAGGGGAGAGGGGAGAGTGTGGTTCGCGACGAGGAGGCCGGCGGAGGCGGTGGTGGAGAAGTTGGAGGAGTTGGCGGAGAGGGTGAGGTTTAGGGTGAAGAGGAAGAGAGAAGGGTTGGTGAAGATGCAGGGGAGTAGAGAGGGAAGGAAAGGACAGCTGGCGATTGATGCGGAGATTTTTGAGGTGGCGCCGTCTTTGCACGTGGTGGAGGTGAAGAAGACGGCGGGGGACACGTTGGAGTATGTTAAGTTTCGGGAACAGGAGATGAAGCCTTCGCTAAAGGACGTGGTGTGGAGCTGGCAGGGAGGGGAGCAGCAGCCTGGGCAAGAATCACGTGCTGATGATTGTTGATTGATTTACTTTATTTCTGCGTAGGGGTTTTTTACATGCGGACTGACTGGATTGAGCTGAAGTTCTGCTTGTGTATGTTTTTTTTTGCCCCCCTTAGCGTGTTTGGTCGATTTTACTTTATTGATTCTTGCTGTGCTGTCTGTGCTGGGTTATGCAGGAGTCATATGAGTGCAATTGACAAGCTTTCATATGTAAATGGGTACCATTTTACTCATTGCGATATGCATATTTGTTCCTTCTTGAATCGTTGTCAGTGATTATCATATTTGTACTTTGTTCGTTCCGTGTCCTCTGTGTTTATTTCGTTAAATCAAGTGACGGGTTTTTTGTTTTCTTCTGAAGAGCCCTGCGTTGTTGAGGGTGGGTTTTGTGCAAGGAGTAAGAAATCAAAGCTCGTGGACATTACCACGTGAATATATCTGTTTTATTCTATGCCCTACTATTTTCCCGAATGAATATCGTGTTGATATCATGTGTGTGTACATGTCTGCATGGTTTTGTTTTTGCATTATGTACAATTAAAAAAAAAAATGAGAGAGAATTAAAACATTGTATGGAACATAGAATGGGATAGAGGATCTTGATTTTTCTAACAGATATATCTACCATTATTATTAGAATTTTTTTTTTACTAGAGGTATGAGGTATCCCCAGATTCACTCCGAGACTTCACCACGAATTGCCAACCCCCACGGGGTACGGAGAGGAGTAAGGTGCCCCATCTCCACTCCCCACGATAGTCAGGTTCGATCCCCTGACCTTCGCTTTCACAGGGAGTTTCACCCTCCCACTAAGCCAGTAGTTAATAGGGCTAAATAGCCATTACTTTTGACAAAAACGAAATCTAGCCTTGGAGAGAGAAGAATTTGGGTCATTTTTTTGAATTAAATGCGCTTATCTTTTGAGAAAATACCCAATAAGTATTTTCTAAAAGAATTAACTAAAATAACTCTTCTAAAAGCAAATGAGTTATACAATGTTAGAAATTAGAAAATATATGAAAATCCTTAAAAGAACTCTGTTAAAACTTAGAACCGATAGCAGCTAAAATAATCAATGATATTACGCAAGAAATTGCTAAGTGACCTAAAAAAGATATGATTGAAAAACACGAGATAACTCCTAATCAAGAAAATGAATTTCTTTTAAATATTCATATCCTAATAACTTCGTAGGAAATGAAGAACTGGAAAGTTTAGGAAATCCTAATGCCTTTAAATGGGCAAAAGATGCCCTGAAAAAATGAACTTTCAAGAAAAAATTGAAAAGGAAAATATCTAGAATCTAATTAATTTAGATCTAGACGATAAACAAGCTGAAAGACTTGAACATACAATCCGATTCCTGAAGACAGATGAAGAAAAATGCAATTTACATTTAGAATCAGATTCTGAAATGAGAAAATTACTAAAACTTGATGAAAACGAACAATTTTATTAAGTAGAAGAAACTGAAACTGACACACAGTCAGAATCAGGGACAAATTTCAACGATGACGAAGAAGTTCTAAAGAAAACTTTTAGAATGGAAAAGACAGAATCTTATGGAACAAAAAATGATCAGGGAATGGATGCTGAATTTGAAAGAAAACCTTCAGTAACTCTTAGAGCGCCTAGATCATCCAATAACAATATCGGTATCCCTGGTATTGCTGGAGAAGTACATACAGCCTTAATAGTAGATGTAGACTGTAAGACTCCAGAAACAATAAGAAATTAATCGATGAATGAGGACTAAAAATGAGTCTTGTGATTATCTTAGTCCCGAGACTTTAACATAGCACAACATGTGTTAGCAGAATTCTTGAAAATGCACAAAATTTTATATAAAAGTGTTCAATGAGATATTTAAAATATAAACCTCGTAGCAATGTTTGAAAGGAATCTGAACATTTTATACACTTTATTTTTTGGCATTGATAGGTTATCAAATGTAGAAAACAAAAAACTCATAGAAAAATCTAAAGCAAAGATAAGATTAAACAACATGGCCCTTTGTTATATTTGTTATACTAATGAACTCAATTGTTATTGCGAAAAGAATCTTTTCAAAATAGATTTTGGAGAATATCGTGAGTACATTAAAATGTATTTAGCGAAAAATCCTATTGTAGGAAAACATGCTTCAAAATAATTCGAAGCAGCTGAAAATCTTATGAAGTATAATTTTTGTTATGCCAAAAGACTCATAAGAGAAGAAACTGAAAAAGAATTGTAATGCTTCTAAAAAGAAAAATAAATGAAAAGGTCCAACAAAATTGTTGCTCGAAAATCGTTGAAAAACCTACAGATATGGGTGTTAACCATATAAAGAAAAATCTAAGAAAAAATATCTCAAGAAATATAAATACCAGAAAAGAAAAAAAAAAAGAAAAACTTTCAAACTGGGAAAATATTTTTGGAAGAAACAAAAGTTTCAACCACTGATTTTTTTTTTTCCTAATGGTAAAAAGAATTGCAAATGTTGGATCTGTTCATAGAAGGTCCCTATGCAAAAGAGTGTCCTATAGAAAAAAATATGAGAAAATAAAATTTCTTCAAATAGCATAATCATTTGGTCTTGAACCAATTGAAGAAGAATATTCAGATATAGAAGAAGTCTATACATTAAAAAGAGTAGAAGATGACTCCTCTTCTGGAACATCTACTACAGAGAACAGTGATACAGAGTGAAGATAACCTCATCAGTATTACAAATCCGAATTCAATTTACATCAAAGGTATATTAAAATTTGCAGGTTATAAACAAATGGATATACATTGTTTTATAGATACAGAAACAAGTCTTTGCATATCTTCAAAATATATTATTCCTGAAGAACATTGGGAAAATGCCTCAAAATCATTACATGTAAAAATTGCTGATGGAAGCAAAATTTCAATAAATTAAGTTTGCAAAAACTTGAATAGTTTATTACAGGAGAGATATTTCATATCCTACCTGTTTATCAACAAGTATCTGGCATGTATTTTATTCTAGGAAATAATTTATGTCAACTATATGAACCTTTCATTCAATACACTGATAGAATAATTTTCACAAAAGATAGCCAACTTGTGCATATAGGAAAATTGCGAATAGCATATAGGATTGATAATCCAGGATATTTAGATTCTATGAAAAAGAGATCCAAACTCATTAAACCAGAACCTGTTCAAATAACGAGTGAAAAAATTTCACTTCTTAGAGAGAGGGGGAAGAGGTTATTAGATATCCACTTGATCATTTTTGTTCTAAACCAACAAAATTTTTCTGTAATTGAAAAACTATGGAAAAATGTCTGTGCAGATAATCCACTTGATCCCATTAAGACCAAGTATTGGATAAAGGCTTCTATCAAATTGATGGATCCCAAAACTGAAATTGTGGTGAAAGCAATGAGCTATACACCCAAAGATAGAGAAGAACTAAATCAACAAGTTCAAGAAATGCTTGACATGAAAGTCATTATTCCTAGTAGGTCTCCTCATAGATCACCAGCATTTATGGTAGATAGAAAGGAACTTCAAAATACAAAATTGTTGTTGATTACCGAGAGGTAAACAAGAAAACAATTCGCGATGGTCATAATTTACCAAATAATGATGAACTCTTATCTTTATTAAAAAGAAAGACAATGTTTACATCTTTTGATTGTAAATCAGGTTTTTGGCAAGTCCTATTAAAAAAAGAATCCCAATTACTAACAACTTTTACATGCCCATTAGGACATTACCAATTCGTGGTAGTGTCCATTGGCTTAAAAAATGATCCATCAATCTTTCAAAGACATATAAATAACGCATTTAGAAAGTTTGAAAAATTCTGTTGTGAGTATATATGTCGATATGCTTCAGGAAGTTTTAATTCTGCTGCAAAGAATTATCACTCAAATGAAAAAGAATATCTTGCAGTAAAAAATATTATCCATAAATTTACAATTTATCTTACCCCTTGCAAATTACCCCTTGCAAATTCATTGTTAGGACGGATAATAAAAACTTCACTTATTTTCTGAAAAAAAAATGAACGCTGATAGTAAACAAGGTAGACTTGTTAGGAGGCAGATGTGGCTTAATCAATATGAATTTCATATGCAGCATATCGGATGAAATAAGAACCCCCTAGCAGACTTTTTATCTCGAGAGTTTAACGACTTTTGAAATAATGTTTGCAAGATTAAGGCTTATCAGAGCACATAACCAGTCACAGACGGTGACAATAGGGAGTTGCCTCCCAGGCACTATTTATGCTTGACAAAGCATCATCTGAAATGGATGCGTTAGAGCAGCTTCGGTTGCAAGAAGGACTATTAGTCAAAGAACATGAATTGGTTCGTGCAAAATCAAGTTTGTAAGCTTGTTTAGAGCTGAACAGAAAAGAGATTCTACTGTCACCATTCTAGCAATGTAACAAACGAGTAATGTAATAAGCCTAGCTTGTGAACAAAAAGAGAAAATTTCATCTCCTCCAGATCTCATAGATCTCAAAGGTAAAACTAGTCCAGAGAAAACGACTACTGGTAAAGACATATCAAATCCGTTAAAAGCTGGCAACTTGCTAGAAGCGAAAATAGCTATTATATTACCAACAACGTCAGATAATTCTGATGGATTCAACCTCAGACCGAATGGTGGAACTTCTGTTCCTAAACAGATAAAATCACTTAACACTGATAAGGGAATTCCAATCCGAAATAAAAAGGACAAGACTTTTTATGTCGTGTTCAATGGCCCAAATGCAGGTATTTACCAAGATTGGGAAATAACCAAAAAGGCTACAGACGATATTTCTGCGGTTTCACACAAGAAATATAAAAGTTTTCTTGAAGCCCGTATCGCAATAGATCAATATTCAAGAACCAATGCAATGGCTCCCCTTGAGCTAATTTGCACAGCAGATGGACTTATGCCCAATATATTGATTGTAGCTTTAAAGAAGCCCAGAAAACAAGAAAGGCTCCAAAACTCTTGGAAAAATTCCCAAGAAGCCCAAAAAGACGAACGGATCAATTCGGCCCA